AGGGGAGCAGCGGGCGGGCCAGGAGAGGTCTGCCACGCCATGTGGTCTCCTCCGGGGCAGGCGGGAATCGAACTCATGTGGAAGCGGCTTTAGATTCTCAGTGCTGTGCTTTAACCCGCTGTGCCACCAGGGAGGGCCCTCTCTTTAATTTTAAGATGGTTTAATTTTCTGTGATACACAATTTGAGTTGAATTAATTTTAGTCAACTTTTGTTTATGATAATGTTCACATTAATTGGAAAACTTCATTTCAGTGTAACTCATTCAAAATAGTCTCTCCTTGCTCATCTTACTTCTGCTTATCTTATCATGGTCATTTTTTCTTGATCTGTTTTTGTTCTCTTTGCAAAATTGAGGGTAATTTTTATTTTTTTAGGATTTTGCAAGATTTTGGTCTTTCTAAATATCCCAATCTGTTAAATCAGTTACTTGATTTACAACCAAGTCACAGTTCCCCGTACCTCATTGCCTTTCTCGTGGATATCTACGAAGACATGCTAGAAAACCAATGTGACAACAAGAAGGACATTCTCAGTAAAGCATTAGAGGTAAGCTGGGGGACACGGTGATTTTCTTTTTGGTATCAGAATTAGGTCTGCTGGTATTGCTAGTATTTATGAGCCTTTCACCATAGTTACAGAATCCACTGCAGGGCCTTTCTGCTGTTGGGCAATACCTGAGTCACTAGTAAATTTAGCATGTAGCTTTAGCAGTATTTCTCATTTGAATATGTTCTAAGTTAAAGTGAATTGGCTTCAATGCATTTGCCTTAGAGATTGAACTACATATTTTAATAAATTTTTGTTTTTCATTTTCAGTTATGTGAAATCCTAGCTAAAGAAAAGGACACTATAAGAAAGGAATATTGGAGATATATTGGGAGATCCCTTCAGAGCAAACACAGCACAGAAAGTGACCCACCAACAAATGTACAGCAATAACACCATCTCAAAGAACTTGACAAAATGCTCTTATTTTTTAAGAGACTCTAATGCAGGAGTTTAAAACTAGAGAGATCATTCCCTTTGCCTGTGGTGTAAAGCGTTTTATTACACAGGTACTGCTTTTTAACAAGAACTGAGTGTGATGCTCCTTGGGTGCTGCTGCTTTTCAGACAAGTTCTAGGTAACTTGGTTCTTCTAAAGTGAAGTTATTTGTGGCAAGAGAGAAGAAACAGAAAATCCCATAAAGAAACTTTGTAGTTTTATCAACAGTTACTCCTTAGTATCACCTTCTTCCTAAACAATATGTGTGTCAGGATTTGAGCAATAATGATTGCAGGTAACTTGTATGTAATGGATGTGAAGTAGCTTAAATTTTGGTTCAGTAAGCGGGGAATGTAGTAGTTACATTAGAGCTGCTAAGCCACACTCACAGTATCTTGCTATCACTGTAACCAACTAATGCCAAAAGAATGATTTTATAATAAAATAGTTGTATCCTAGAACAGTGCCACAGTGGATTGATTTTTTTAAAATAGCATTTAACTATATACAAGAGAAATTTCTCAGCATAGAAAAGAAATTGCAGAAGAAAACAACTTTATAAAAATGGAGAAACTAGGAACATGATGGTTTAAGGGAAATGTTATTAAAATGCCAGTTGGTCAGGTCTTGACCACAAGCAACAAATGCAGTCAAAGACAGTTTTAAACCAAGCTCTCCTACCCACCTGTGACCACGCAGGTGCCTCTCTTTTTCTAATAATACTGTAAAAATGTAAAAAAAAATGTAAGCTCACAGGATTTATTAAGGGGTGTGTGTGTGCGCGCGTATGTGTGCGTGTGTGCGTGTGTGCACATGCATATGGTTTACTGAAAATAATCAAGAAAACTGCTGAAGGGGAAGCCAAGTGTGCTGCTGCCACTTTCAGGACCAGTTGCCTCTGCCGTGATCCTGGCAAGCTCACTTGCTTCTCTGTCCACATAAAGCTGCCCCAAACCCAACACTCCATTTAGTACATCTTATTAGAACCTAAATGAAAGGAATGTGGGAATTGTAGTTCATAACTTCCAGCCTCTAATTCAGGAAAATGTGCTCAGATTTGAGTGTTGCAGTTAGTCACTGTACCTGCACATAGTTCAGTCTCATTTTATTGATAAAGAATATTTGTTCATTGTTCAAAGCACCATAGTACAGCTAAAGAAATTATATAGTCATCTCAAGATTTTAGGAAATGCCAACATTTTATTTTGTTTTATTTAAAAGATTTATTTTATGCTTACAAGAACTGGGGTACGAGCCAAAGGTGAAGGGAGTGAGAGGATTCACCAGAGACAGAGTGGGGAGCAGAACAGGTAGATCAAGTGAAATACACTGCCAAGGGGAGCAGTGGGTGAGGCAGGAGAGGTTTGCTTGCCATGTGGGTCACACCCCTGGCTGGGGATAGCTTCACAGTGCTGTGCTTTAACTAATCCCTGGTACCACCCGAAAGGCCCATGGAAATACCAGCATTTTAATACTTATGAACAAAAAGTATTTGGGGAATATTTTTACATTTTACAAGTTAGTTTTTGTTGTTTATATACTCCAGAAATGTCTGATTTTATCCTTGAGATTTTCATAAAGTTCCATCCGTGTGTAGACAATTTTAAAGTTGTCCATAAGTAATAAAAACTACATGGAGAAGTTTCCGTAAGGTAGCATTTATCCTTGGATACAGGCTCATGAGTCCCAAAATTCAGGCCTGGAGTGAGGACAAAAACAATAGAAACTGTTTGATAACAAAAAGCACAATGAAAATTTACATTGTGAAATACATAATTAAAAGATTAAAATACATAATTATAGTGTTCCAACCCAGACACTTAGCATTTTCTACCTGAAGTCCAGGTGGCAGTTCACTTACCGGAAGTTTGCTTAGTAAGCATAGAATCAGGTGAGACCTCTCTTTTAAGTGTGTGAAGATTTTAGTCTAAGAATCCTAATGAGGGCCATGTCCTGATGGGTCAGTGGATACATAGACCCAGCGGCACAGTCCTTTTGTTGGGCCAGTGTCTGTAAAAGTGCTGGTGTCTTGGCACAAATCAGGGGGCAGTGGTACGCAATATTATGTTCCTTACTGCCACATTCACTGGCAGATGTCCCTGGTGGTCATTAGTTACATACTGGATTCACAACACTGGGTCAATCTTCACAATATTTTGTGTGCCTGAATGGAAGTAATACACAAAGCATCTCTTTTTGGTCATCTTGAAAAAACATATGTGCAGTTATGTAAGTTATGGGCAGAATAGACTGCTTTTCATGGACCACCATAATTATTTGAACAAACAACTGGTAAACTGGTTATTCATACTTGGATGACTGACACATTTTCTCAAAAGCAAAGTGAGTTTGTCACTTCAAGGAAAGCAACTGCTGCCAATGATAAAATTTGACGTTTCAAGTGAAATTTTGAGATTTCTAGGGATATCTCTGTAATTAACCAATCAGTATTTTCCAGATGACCAATCCATAATATTATGGTATTAGATAATTGATAAATAGTCCATTCAAATCACAGAATGTAACAGTACAGGAAGTTCATTGAGAAGGTTGTAAAATTCATACCACAAATTAGCTTTGGGAACCTACCACTTGTCAAATATTGGTGCTGTATCAAAGAAGAAAATTCACAACTTCAGAAAAAAGACTATATTTAACTCCCTTTCCAACTGTATATCTGTGAGTATGAGTCTGGATTTTCGTTATATTGTTTCAGTCAAAATACTCTGTTGCAATAGAGCAAATCAAGAAGCAAATGTCATGATCTAGAGGTCTAAATTGGAATTAAGAGACTTAACAAAAATGTTTAAAAATGATACTCTTTTTTTGTTGGAAAATGGCTCAATTATTTTTTGTTAACATGTAATGGGTTTACTTCTTTATTAGTGAATTAATAAAAGTTTAGAGTTCAGATATGGTAAATACCAATAGCTACTACCTAAATAAAGAAAAGCTGGAGGTGAAGTATTACAGCGGAATACAAGTCAGCTATATAAAGATGAATTAACAACATGAATAGAAGTGGAAGGGAATGTTTTTAACACCATGAACACACACACACTCTTTCTATAAACAGCCCAACCAGGTATTTTGCTCATAAGGAAGTTATGCAAGATGGTCACCAAGAGAGTTGGCAAGATTAACACCCTACAATAGCTCCCTGATTGGTGGGAGTGCTGTGTTGTATAAGTGGGGGAAGAATGCGAGGATGTACAGAACCTGAAGGGAGTGAGGGTCTGTTAATTCCCAAGTCGCTGAAAACTGACTTACATCTCTTAACAAGAACTGTCTGTGCCCCTCTGAGGTTGATAGTAACCTCAAGAACAAACATCTGGGCTTGTCAGGACAAAAAACCCTCCAAAACCTACTGCCCTTTGCTGCCTCCACCTGGCGGGGATTATTCTAAGTGAAGTAAGTCAGGAGAAAGACAAATATGGGATGATTGCCCTCATGAAATATAGAGGGGGGCAAAAAACAGGATCTGACCCAACTAAGCCAAAGTAATTAGAAATATGACTGCAACGGTGAGGCCACTAGAGGGGGTGTGAGGGCAGGGTGGGGACAGAGGGAGGGGACCCAGTGGTCTAGGATTGTGGATGCTTGGGTGGTAGAGCTGGGTTGATCACAGACATCTGTCAAGGCGTGAGCCTATTCCTAAATCATGTACAGTAGGTAGTGCCATTCTCCTGGCTATTTGCCAAGGTGGCAGGCAAATAACTGCTGGTTAATTTTCATTGTTTGGTTTACCTGTAACGGCTGTACTTTTTAAACCATGTTATTCTCTTGATTCCAAAGTTAGGAAATGTGTCAGCGTGGACGAAGATAACATATGTGGTTAAATGGTATCGATAAATTGATACCTAATCCTAAACCGGAATTTTGATGTTGCAATTCCTCACTCATTTTCCACCAGATACAAACGCCTGTTTAGGTAGGGGTCATGTTGTGCAACTTCCAGTCCCTTTTCCAAACAGTACTCCTCCTTTGGGGCTTGCTCAATTTATTGCCTGCGGATGGAGGAACTGACGCAAATTTTTAACTTCTGTGCTAAACTGAATGAGTTCCCTTCCACTAGACAGTGATTCTCACTTTCAATCTGCAACACATGGAGGCCTTGACAGAGGACAGATTGTTGGCTCCCATCCCACGTCTGGGATGGGAGCCGACAATCTGCATTTCTAGCGCTTTCACTGGAGATTTCTAGCACTATCCCAGAAGTATTGTCAGCATCTGGCCTGCAGACCACACTTTGGAAACCACCGTTTTTGCAATGACTGGGGAGTTTTTGAAGGGTGTAGGTCTTGCAGCTCTTCCCCGTGGTAGGTCTTACACGTACCCCGTGTAACCAGGCTGAGCGTCTGGACTAAAGCAACAGTGTGTCAACACCTTCTCGTGCTCACTCCGTCGAGAAGAGGCCACAGTGTGAGACTGACCTTCGCACCTGGACTGGAACCCGGACTTGGAACTCCGAGTCAGCGTCCGGCTCCGGTGCGCGGCGGGAAGCGGACACTAGGGGGCAGCGTCGCGCTCGCGCTGTCGTTGGGGGGGCTCGTTTCCGGCCGCGCCGGCGCAGGACGCCGCGTGCCGTACGGAGGCCGCAGGTAAGCAGGGCCGGTGGGGTGACGGAGGGACCGGGGATGGGGGGCTGTGGGCACGCCGAGGCCGAAAGATGGGCGGGCATGGAAGGGCCCTCAATTTCCTGCGGGGTGCGTCGCTGCCTCAGCCCGCGCTGGGACACAAAGCCCAAACCCGGGCCCAGGCTGTCTCCAGCGGACAGGCTTCCCGACGGCCCTCCGCCAGGTAGCGGGTGTGCACCCTCAGGCTCGCCCCACCGCGCCCCATCTACACTTTTAAATGATCGACACTCGCCGGCACAGGCTCGAGCCCCTTCCCTGCGTGGACTCTGCCCGGACTCGGTCTGCCATCACTGCCTCTGGTTGCTGTGCCAGGATTGGCATGACTGTCCTAACCTGTGTGCTGCTCTTTTAAGGAGCAGGGCTCAGTTGTTTGGTTTAGTCTTTTATTTAATCTTGTCTTCTCCATCACTTGCCTTAAGGCTACATAAACTTCCGAATGTTTAAAATAGTTACGTTAATGATCCTTCTGCTACATTGACCCTAATCTGTTTTTTCCTTAGTATAGAAAGTATTTTTGTGAATTAGAATTTAGACATGGTTTTTGTACCAATCTTTTCTTTTTACTTTTTCAGTCAACTGTGAATACAGAGCTGTGGCTCCCAGTTGCTTCCTGCCCCGCACCCCATCCAACTTTTTCCTCTCAGTCTCAGTCACTCCTTGTGTCTAAGCAGTTCCTGAATTTCTCCTACCCATCTGGCACCATCAGTTATTCTTTCATTGCGGGGTAATATTCAGAACCAGTAATTTCAGTGTCCTCTTGCTCATTTCTGGACATTAAAATTATTTCACTCACAAACCGTTATCACAGGCTCTGGGTAACCTACCATATATAGGCCTTTCAAAAAAAAAATGTCCTCTTGGCGTTAGGGTGGGCTACAGCTTTCTTCAAGAAATGAGTGGTCTCAGTGCTCACTCCCACCCCCTCCAGTGACCACATCACCTTCAACTCAGGCGAGCCCTGGAAGTTGCAGAATTTAGAAAACGAATGTGCATTTGAAGACCAGAAAACTTTTCTCCTCTATGTAGAGCTTAGTGACTCCCCTTGAGTTTCATATTTGTGAAATGGGAATAATAGCAATTCTGTCTGCCTCACAGAATTGGTGTGAGCTTGACATTGCATTAAAAAGTTAGCTAAAGGGCCCTCTCTTGTGGCATAGCAGGTTAAACACAGCACTATGCGACTATCACAACCACGGCAGCACAAGTTCAATTCCCAGCCAGGGAACTGACCCACCTGGCACAGCAGACCTCTCCTCTGTCACCCGCTGCTCCCCTCAGCAGTGCATTTCAGTCAGTCTGCCTGTTCTGCTCCCTATTCTGTCTCTGGTGAATCCTCTCACTGTTCCTACACCTCTGGCCAGTATCCCAGTTCTGTATGCATAAATAAATCTTAAAAAACAAAAAGTTAGCTATTTCCAGATGAGTATTTTTTCTGAGAGGACTCAAAAGAGGCTGTGAGAACTTAGGAGTAGATGAAAGGCTACGAGGATGTAAGTGACATCAACAAGAAATGTATTCAAGGGTTGTTGGGTAATGGTGAGGGTCTAATGTGAATTCTAGACTACTATAGGATTTTGTACCAAAATGATTCACGCTTCAGCTCTGCAACCTGAGTACACCCTTGTGGTAGGATTAGCAGGTCAAGGACCAAGAGGTTTTGAGGGTTGAAAGGGTGAAACATGGGACTTGGTCTGGCGAACTCAGACTGGAGGAGATAGTGGAGGCAATGTTGGGGTACAGGTCATGAAGCGGAAGAGCAGATTCCGGGGTGAGAGCATAGGAGAGGAAGTGTATGTGGGGCAGGCTTCGTGAAGATGGGACATCCTGAGTGGTAGGCTGTCTACAAGGTTTTGCTACCTGCTGTCGGCTGGCCACAGGGGAAAAGGGTGTACAAAACAAAGGCAGCCTGAGGAGCTCAACAGTGGGAGGAAGGACATCTGGACAGCCTGGAAAGGTGCCTTCAGGGAGGGAGGAAGCTCAGACTGGACTGTGAGGTACAGAAGGTTAGGAGAAGTGCACAGAGGCTGGATCTCAGGGCCTTACAACAGTTCAGAATTTATCCTGAATGTTAAATGTTTTTAAATAAGGAATGATCAAATTTGTGACTTTAAAAAGATCAACCTAAACACATGCCTTTTGCAGCAACATGGATGGAGCTGGAAAAGATGATACTTAGTAAAATAAGTCAGAAAGAAAAGGAAAAATACTGGGTGATTTCACTCACAGCAGGAATATAAAGGACCAGGCGAAAAAGTAATAATAATAATAATAATGAACAACTATATACCAGAGACATTTTACAGGGGTGGAATGGGCCATGGGATCAAAAACCATGGGGAGAAGGAAGTGCATTGGACTATGGTGATGGCACACAGGTGATTTGATAATGGGGAGCCCATGGGGATTACAACTGAGATGGAAAAAGGCACAAAATAATATAAAAATAAACATTATTAAAAAAAAGTCAAAGAAGGCAAAAAAAGAGATCACCCTACATGTACCAGAGGAAACTTCAGAAGCACAGGGAAGTGTGTATAAGTGGTGAATTAGAATTTCTTGTGTGAATAAATCTCAACAACATAATATTTAGCTGCTAAAAAGCCAGCTGCAAAAGGATAGATATCGTACAAGTCCACTTATATAAAACTTAAAAGACAAACATGTTATGTGTTATTATTTATGGGTACATACTCACGTGATGAACATACAATGCATATATGGATGTTCTATACTTAAGTAGTTTTAAACTTCATCTGGAAGACTTGTTTAAAACACACATTTCTGGCCCTACATTAGTTTCTGAATTAGTACATCTGAACTCAAAAATTTGCATTTCTCACAAGTTCCCAGGTGAAGCTGCTGCTTCAGGTCAAGGGACCACAGTTTGAGAACTACTGAATCAGGATGGTGATTGCTTCTTGTGAGGGAGCAGAATAGGACTGGAGGAACCGAACGGGCTTCAACTATATTTGTAATGTTTCATTTAATGTTTAATGAATCATGAAAGATGTGTTACACTGACTTGACAAAGCTAGGTGGATGTTCATGATCTTATTTTTGGTTTTCTCTATGCTTGAAACATTTTAGGAAAGATAAAGCCTATTTTTCTGTGTGGAGAATGGATTGGCGGAGAGGAAGAAGTAGGAGTCCTGTGGGCAGTGGTTGCAGCAGCCCAGGTAGGACATGCTGGTGGCTTAGACCTGGGTGGCCGTGGCATGGAAGAGAGGGATGTGGGTGACAGCCCTGACTGGGTAGTGCCTGGCTGACAGGCCAAGGGAGAAGGGAATCAAGTTACCTGTTTGGTGGCCTGAGCAAAAAGGATGGATTGTATGCCTGTCAAAGAGAGAACCCTGGAGAAGGTGCATGCTGGGACAAGAGTGAGAGACTACAGACACCACAGACCTTGGAGAGTCCCTGAGTGAAGCATAGACGAAAGATCTGGAAATCACCTGTATTTATATGACCAGTGCCTGGTGCACAGATGCGGTTACATAGCGCATGTGTAGGATACAAAGATGGCATGTGACAGACCTGAAGATTATCGCTTCCTAGTGCAGGGTTTGGCCTGCTCCTGGCCACCCCCCACTTTTGTGTGGCTGTGAGCTAAGCATGCTTTTTACTTTTTTAAATGCTGGGAGAGGGAATCAAGACAATAATCTTTT